GGGAGTGTGGGGGGGGGGGAACGTGATAAGGCTGAGCAGGAGATGGCAGATAACTAGGGTTTTTATGATGTAAAAAATCTTTTTTGAGCTGCTTAACTCATCCTGTATTTGCAGCTCTGAAGACTAAGTAGTTTGCATGATGAGGGGGTCTGCATTCCTTCTGCGATCAGGGGGCATGTGGACTCAGCAAGGGTCAGGGAGGGAGGGAACTTCTGAGGCTACACAAAGAAGCGTGGGCTCAAACCAACCCAACAGGGACTTGGGAAGGCAGAGGACGACGAAGAAATGGTCTCTCAGAGGCTGCACTGGAAAACTGGCCCCGCTTTGCAAGTCCAGAGTCCTTCTCCCTCTGTGCAGGAGTGTCTCTGTAGTCCTGGCTACTGGCTTGAATTGTTTGGCTAGTTTTAAATTTGAACCTAAGCAAGGAGCCAGTACACATGTAGAGCTGGAAATCTGATCCGCCCTGTCCAGGCAGTTTGACCTCACTTCTTGGAAGTCAGAGCCCAGGACCTTAGACAGGAAGGAGGTCTGCGACCCTCGTCCCATACTTGGAGAGAAGATTCTCCTGGCCTTGTCTCCCACACTGCTGCGGTCCACTTCCTGGCAGGAGTAAGCCAGCAGCAGAGCCTCAAGCAAATGCCCCTGCTCCTGTCCCTCTTTGAAAACAAAAAGGCACTGAGGTCAGCAGGAGGCCAGCCCCACGGCTGGCCATTCTTCGAACATAAAGGTCTCCAAGTTGGCTGAGTTGGAGGTTCCCCCCTCTGTACTCAAGGCAGCTTCCTCTGGCGGTATCTGGAGATCCCAGAGTCCCAGTGGGAGGAGAGAGGCAGTGCTGGAGGCCGAAGGGAAACCAAGGCAGCCAGGCCTCCTCCGTTCTCTAGCCCGGGGAAGGCTGAAGACAGCTTGGACACATTTATCTGCAACATGTTTTGGCTTTGACTGCCTGATTTCCGTACTCAGCAGGAGACTTTAAAAATGGTAAGTGGCTGGTTTCCCTTTGGTGGAAACACATGAGGATGATGGCAATATTAAATTCAAAACTGTAACTCAGAAACAAAGAGTTGTTGACAAAGATATGGCTGAAGACCACACATACACAGATATGTATGCCTTTGGGTTTACATGTGCACAGACTTTTGGGCCATCAGGGCCAGGGCCGGCTGCAGCTTCTCTGGAAATTTCTCAGGCAATCTCAGCTTCGGTGTTCCTGACCCGAGCCAGTGGCTTTATGACCGTCCCTTAAGCATGAACAACGGGCACCTGGGGAAAGTGGGGGACAGTCCTTTTATGAGCACTGTCGTGCTTTCAGGGGCTCAGCTCAGACCTGCTAAAGGAATATGCTACAATTTTTGGACTCATAAATAAGGGAACCGTGGATGGCAAATAAGAAAGAAATTGAAAAAGAATAAAAGGCAGAGAAAGAACATATAGCTCTAAAATCTTTTTTCTTTCCTTTGCCGGCTGGTGTGGAGAGAGGCAACTATTTGGTTTGTGAAAGGCTTGCCGGTGGTGAGAGGACGCGGCGGATCTTTCACACGAGCGAGCGCTGCTCCTGGGCAGTGTGCAGAGGGCACAGCGTGATGGTGGGCAGGCCCCAACTCCACGCACACACGTGTCCATCAGAGATTTTGTGCCACGTCTGGAACTGCTGGGCGGGCACAGATGCACCCAACAGAGGTGTCCTGAGAAAAAGTGTCTGTGGCAAAGTAATAATCAATAATAAAAATAAATCCATGGGCATCGGGAGAAGAGGTAGCAGGACCAGCTAGGCAGGTTTGCCCTGGGATTCTCTTAAGGCCTCTTCCAGTTTCTGCCTAAACTTGTCATAGTTCTTCTGCACTTGTTGGATTTTGTCCTGCTCCTCCTTTTCCAGGATTGTTAGGAAGTTCTGGAGCTCGGGGATGGAGAAGGCATCCCACTGTGGGGCGAGAGGGAGATTGGGGGAGAAACAATAGGAGACAGGTTAGTGGTCGCCTGATCTGAGGGCCCCTGCTGTCCCCACTCTTCACACAGTTTGCACATGGTTTGCTACTGAGTAGGCAGATGTGACGAATAAAGCCTGGGGTTCCCATGCCGCACCAGCAACAGAATTTCAAATCCTGGCATCTCGTGGCCAAGAGTTACTAGTCCACAAGCCATATTGTTATTCAGGGAATCAACAATCTTAAATTTCTCTGTAGCCGCTGAGATCTTAACAGTGATGCGGGAGCTGCCTGGGACCCAGCTGTCTGCTTTGGGGTGATCAGCAACAGGCTCCCAACATGCGGACCCTCAAGAGGCATCTGGAAGAGAGCTGGACTTGGACTCAGGAGACTGGGTGTCAGCCTGGCTCCACTGTGTGGCCTTGAGCACATAAGTCCACCTTCTCAGCCTGTTTTCTCATCTGCCGTGGAATTAGGGAATCTGCCTCCCTTGGCTGGCAGAGCAGATGATGAGATGAGTCACTTGCACAGCTCTGCAGAGCCTGGTGGGCCTGGCCTCTCAGGAAAGAAGGCAAGTCTGACTTCTCTCAGGCTGACCCAGGAACTGAGGCTCCCTTAGGGCCAGGGGTTTTGACTCCTAAGCTCTTTGAGCACAAAGGAACATTAAGGTTTATCTGGTTTAATCCCCACATTGGATAAATGAAAAAACTGAAGTCCACGGAGGGAACCACAATCACAGACACAAGCACCACAATCACAAAGCTTATAGCAGCAAAACTAGAACTAGAAGCCAGGCCTCTAAACCCCCAGGCCCGTGAGCTTGCCACGGGGCAGCAGTGTTCAAACAGCTTCAGCGGAATACTTTTTCCAAATGAAATCTTCCACTATATAAAGCAGATGGAAAGCAGAGCTGCCTGGTGGAGGCTGGGAAAGGACAGGGCCCCGCTGTCCACAGTGGCTCCCAAGACTGCTTCCCCGAACCCCAGGCCTCCAGTGAATGCAGTGCGACAAACTCAGTGACCCCGCTCTCGGTCACTCCTCTGTGACCCCACCCGCCACGCAGCCCAGGCCGCGGGGGCCACCAGCTTGGTTTCACCTCACTTCACACCACAGACTGGACTCCGGTGAGCTTCCCTTGGGGGATCGAGGTCCGCTTTGAAGAACCAGGGAGAGACAAATGCCTCAAAAATACCCATGCCCAGTGGAGCCCAGGGATGGAGCTTGATGGGCCTCAGGCCATCCTGGAGCAAAAGAACCTGGGTGGAACACAGGGAGTTTCTCAGCGCCCCTCCACCCTGAGTTTTCAGAAATAAAGCGCATGAAATCCTGTCTTTCCACAGGCCTTGCCAGACACAGGCCCTGACTTGCTACCCCAGGGCGCTTACAATCCTGGCTTAAAGGCTGAACCTCAGCCGGCACTCACCCCAGCTCAACTGCCTTGAGACATTTTCCTGCTGTGCTGGGTGGTGAGGATAACGCCCACCCGCGCCCCGCCCAGCGTGCCCCGCAGGCTGGGTTTGTGCACCAAACAAAGTGTCCCAGACCTACCTCCACCTCTCCAGTTTCGTTCTCCTTTAGCACGAAGCTGAGCACATCTGTGTCAGGCCCAGCGAGTAAGCGCAGGTAGAGGGGGCAGTCAGCAACGGAGAGTTTCTGGAAGAGCACTGCAAACCAAGAGAGGGGGCTGGGTGTTCATCTTGGAAAAGAAGGGCAGGGGCTCAGGATGGGTGGGACCGATTGGAAATGCAGAGGCTGGTGTTTCTAAATGGAAGTGGCCATCCTTTCAACCTAACGAAATGAACCTGACAAGAATAAATAGGGTAACAACCTTTATCTTCGGTGTCTGCTAGAGTGTGAAGCATGTTTCCATTCACGTCATCCCCTAAAAGATTAGTAGGAGTGGTGGGCAGGTTCTGTCCCACTCCACAGATTAGGAAGTGAGAGCCCAGGGTGTGGTTTTCCTGAGGTCACACGTGGAGGGAGGGGCACAGTGAGCCGGGCAGAATGTGCGTGTGGCCCTTCCACAGACCTAATGCCACATGGATGGCTGGACGGAAGTGCCACGAGAAGCCCGATCCTCCCACTCCAGTGTGCTGGGGAGCACAGACAGACTTGGGAAAGGTAGTTTCTGGGTGGGAGCTAGCTCTCTCATACCTTGCCCGTCCTTGTGTATCCGTTTAAAAAGTGCAAACTTCTGGGGATTGTCCACGACCATGAACTTCTTGAGCAGCCCCTGGATGACCTCACTGACCGTGGTGGTGCTGCTGATGTGCAGCTGCTTGATGGCATCCAGCGGCAGGTAGAAGGATGTCCGCTTGTCCGTGGTGGCTGCCAGGTCCACTTCCTTGATGGCGTCATAGATGGACGGGGGCCGGATCCCAGCAGGCACCATCACTGGCCGCCGAAGTCTCAAATGCACTTTGATGAAACCCGTGTAGGTGCCGTCTTCACTCTGCGGGGTGGGGGGTGGGGGGCAAGTCATGTGGGGCCCGGGAGGGTCTGTGTTGCTTGATCCTGTCTGCCACTCTGGGCCGTGGACCCAGATCCGGTGGGCTGCAGAGGCCTTTCCTAATAGCAGTGCCATCCCAGTCAAACACCCTCCCGACAGGCTCAGGCTGCCTGCCCCAAATCCCCTGTCACGAGGCAGATGCCGACTGCCTTTGGTGGGTCCCCAGGCCAAGAGGCAGGGTCTGGAGTGGCCTCTCTAGTTCGCCTCTCCAAACCAAGGAGGAGCAGGACGGCTGTGTGATAAGGTCCTCGGAGAACCAGCGCACTGGATTTTCTCCTGCATCTCTTTCCAAAACCCGGCAGTCTGCAAGACTTAAACCCAGGCCTATCCGCGACTGGGTTTTCTAGCGCCCCACCCGGCTGAAGCCCCGAAGAGCCAGTTGCTGCCAGCCACCAGCAGGGGGCAGGTTTCTTCTACCGTCTCCTCCCCTCCCCACTGAAGATGGCCTTTCCAAAACTGGCACAAAGTTGGTGCCCTCCCCTCTCTGAGCTCTGCACAGTCTAAGGAAGCTTCCCCAGACACAGGCTGTAATGACCAAGAAGGGGAGGAGGAGTTGCTGCGAGCTCCCCTTGCCCAGGGCCTCCTGGGCCCTTAGTCACTTGTATATCATTTAATTCCCACAAGTGCTTTGACAAATGGGAACTAATATGTCTATTTTACACTGAAGCTCAGAGAGGTTAAGGCTTCCCAAAGCCACAAGTTAAAAACAGGAAGAGCCAGAGACTAGATGTGGATCTTATTCTAAAGCCCATTTTATTTCCCTAAAATACACAGAGACCCCTGATAACCCAGGCTCTCAGCTTCACACAAGCCTGGAGGCCTCCAGGAGCCCAAAGAAAGGGGAGGGCCCTGGTGGGGGTATCCCCCAGAATGCAGAGGGAGAGCAGGGGAGCCACACCGGCAGGGGCTATGGAGCTGGGAGGGGGAGAGAGGAAGGGGGCGGACAGTGCGGGGCAGGCCCCCTCACCAGCTTCATGCCCAGGCAGTTCTTTTCCCGGGTGTTGTAGCTGTCAATCTTCTGCTTGATCTCCTGCAGCGTGGGCGGGCACCACGGCTCCTCTGCGGGCTTACAGTCATTCTGAAACAGACACAGATGTGAGGGTGGATGTACAGTGGCTCTCAGGATGAGGAAGGAAATGACCTCGTCCTCCCAAAGGCCTCTCCAACCGAGAGTAAGTGAGCACCAGCCTCACGCAGTGAATGGGATGGACTCAGCCTGAGAAAAATCAAAGGTCAAATCCCTGCGCAGCCAGCTACCCCGGGGAAGTGACTTCAATCTCTCTCGGCCCCAGTCTCCACACCTGTGAAATGGGGGCAATACACACCCTTCAGGCATGTTGCAAGACCAAGGTGAAAAGGCCCGGCACACAGGCACTGGGTAAGAATCTGGTGAATCAGCAGAGCTGTTTTGCTTATTGGGGGTGTCCATTTACATGCTATGGGAGATGCAAAGAAATGCAAGCCATGGTCGTCTTCTCAAGGAAGTAACAATAGAGCTGGAGAGAGAGGAACATACACGTGATCCCAGTATATGCTGATGGGAATGACAGCAATTCTCCCAGATCGAGAGGACCAAGGGCACATGGACATCATTCCAGGCCCCATGTCACTGGCCACAGCACTTTGCACATAGTAAGAATACGTGCGCGCGCACACACACACACACACACACACACACACACATATTTATCAAATCAATGCATGAACTAGTGGGGGCAGGGGGCTGTAGCCTTCCCTGATAATTGAGGGGATAAATCTCTGCTGGGGCACAGGGAGAGCCAGCGTTTACTCAGCACCTCCTCTGTGCCGAGTGCTTGGCTTGCATTATCTCAGTTAATCCTCAGAACCCAAACTGCAAGATAAGAGTTTATTACCCACATTTCACGGGTGACACGACAGAGACTCAGAGGAGTTTAGGAACGTGCCTAAAGCCCTGCAGTCAGCCTCTGCAGAACTAAAAGGGATGCCAGTCTGTTCTGCTGTGTTCTTCCCATGACATCACAATTTATTCTTCTGACTGCCCCCCCCCCGCACCCCCTCTAGGAAGAAGGAAGCCAAGGAGATGCAGGTCGATGTTGTTCACACTGTGGACAGAATTCAGGGGAGAATTCTGGGGTCTAAGCAAACCTGTCCGTCTGTCAGTTCCCTGGGTTTCTCTCAAGTCCATTGCCACCCACCTTCCCTGCTTTGTCTTCACGTTGTCCTGTGTGGCCGGGAGTGCAGGAGCCACAGTTTCGGGGAATAAATAGGTCAGTCAAAACCTGCCAAGAATTTGCCTGGTCTTAGAAATCTAGCGGACCCAGCGTGGGTCAGGATTCTCCTCTGGCAAATGAGGAAACAGGCCCAGAGTGGTGGGGCAACTGTGTTCTCCAGGCTGACATCACCCAGCACTGCCCTGTGGGTGTCTGGTTTGGTTGGGGAATTTCACAGCCATGCTGCCGTCACAGCACCACCCAGCAGAACACGTCAGGCTCCCATGGCAGAGCTGTCCAGCCTCCTCCCTCCAGCCCGCCCACGGGAGACAAGTCACACTCAGCAGGATGCCTTCACTTCCCCCTCCCACTTTCCAGTCCCACAGAGCCGATAAGAGGTCAAGTTCTGTGGCTGCCGAGGGGAGCGGGCGTGGCCTCCCACACCCACCCCTCAGCATGGAAACGAGCTGACATCCTTTTTCCATCACAGCATCTTCCGCTGGCCTGTCTGCTCCCCCCCTGTACTCTTCCTTGAGGATCTCGATCAGAACAGCACTGTACGCTCACATACCTTACATACTACGTATGTTATTCCTGTTTTACAGATTACAGACAGAGGCTCAGAAGGGTTAAGGAACACGCTTGTGGTCCCACCGCTAGTAAGCATCTGCGTTGGGCCTGGAACCGAGTCCAGCAAAGTCTGGAACCCATGCTCTTCTCAATTCCATGTGGTCACCCTAGGACGGCCGCTTCAGCCACTCCCATAGCGATCACTGAAATTCCATGCAACGGGACTGGGATGAGCAGCCGCTACACCAAGACCTATAAATTACGTGACCTGTGAAACGTTCAGTGGGTCCCCAGAAGTCTCATGACCTGGGGCCACCGTGTCACCTGTAAAGATGTCAAGGAGGGACTTCTAGCCTCTGGCAGAAGGAGGCAGGAGCCAGGATGCAGGGCCCACCCTTTTCCTATGTGGTCACTCAGGTCTCTGGAACAGGACCCTGATTCCACTGAGGACCACCCAAGGGCAAGTACTCCCCAGGGCATCTCCCATCTTCTTGAGCTGAGAAGCAAGTGGTGTGAGCCACACAGAGTGTCTTCTTTCACTGTCGACTCATTAACCCAGGGACCATCACAGTGGAGCTTCTCACTCCTCGTCCCTCCCCGTTTAGTTCCTGGAGACCCCGCCCCCAGCACCCACCCCACTGGGCACATCTCTGTGGGACCAGACGTGCCTGCTGTCCTCTGGGAGCTTCCAGTCAGAAAGACCAGTATCCCGTTACCATTACATACACTCCATTCTGTCCGTCTCTGCAACATGCAGGCTGTTGCTCCTTAGGAGTTAACAGCTTGCTCATACTTATCTACAAAAAAGAGTTAGAAGCTCTAGAAACTCCTGGAAGATCTCTCATAGTTTCCAAATGAGCTATAGCCATTTCCCGGTAAGAAAAGGCAGCTGCATCATGGCTTTCAAAGGCCAGTATTCCAGCCTGTTTTTGAATACAGTAAGAGTCAGAGCTGCCTTAACCTAAGGCTTTTTCTTCCTGTTCTCTTTTCCTGCAGCAGATAACCCATCTATTCTCCCCTTCCCACCACAAACCTGGGGAAGTGATGCAAGTGGCCGTGGGCACCCTTTGCAGGACTCACGCAGAAAACAGCCATCCTGATCTCCATCCCGTCTGGGAGTGCCAGGAGCCCTGTCTGGCCAGCACATTGAATCTCCCACCCTGGGATGACAGCACCCCTGGCTGCTGCCCACACCAGATCTGGCAGACAAGATCTGACCATGGACTGAATGAATCACCTCCCAAAGCAGGCCAGCCAGCCAGCCAGCCATAGCTACGGGAGCGCACCCTTTCCCATCCCAGAAA